AAAGTGAACCCTTTGGAATTACCTGGATTTCTGCATAAGTTGGTCATAAAATGTGTTCTGATCTTCATCTAAGTCACAACAATAGACAAACACAGTCTGCTTAAACTAATACCACACAAACAATTATATGTTTTCATGTTTTTATTGAACACACCATGTAAACATTCACAGTGCAGGGTGGAAAAAGTATTTGAACCCCTAGGCTAAAGACTTCTTCAAGAGCTAATTGGAGTCAGGAGTCAGACAACCTGGAGTCCAATCAATGAGACGAGATTGGAGGTGTTGGTTAAAGCTGCCCTATAACAAATACACACCAGTTTTGAATGTGCTATTCTTAAGAAGCATTGCCAGATGTGAACCATGCCTCGCACAAAAGAGCTCTCAGAAGACCTACGATTAAGAATTGTTGACTTGCATAAAGCTGGAAAGGGTTACAAAAGTATCTCTAAAAGCCTTGATGTTCATCAGTCCACGGTAAGACACATTGTCTATAAATGGAGAAAGTTCAGCACGGTTGCTACTCTCCCTAGGAGTGGCCGTCCTGTAAAGATGACTGCAAGAGCACAGCACAGAATGCTCAATGAGGTGAAGAAGAGTGTCAGCTAGAGACTTAAAGAAATCTCTGGCACATGCTAACATCTGTGTTGACGAATCTACGATACGTAAAACACTGAACAAGAATGGAGTTCATGGGAGGACACCACGGAGGAAGCCACTGCTGTCCAGAAAAAACATTGCTGCACGTTTGAAGTTTGCAAAAGAGCACCTGGATGTTCCACAGCACTACTGGCTAAATATTCTGTGGACAGATGAAACCAAAGTTGAGTTGTTTGGAAGGAACACACAACGCTATGTGTGGAGAATCCAAAGGGTTCACATACTTTTTCTTGCAACTGTATATAGTAGCTTGGCAAAACCACGAAGAAACCAAGGTGGTAATTAAGATTAACAGAATACAAAGAGGACACTGACAAAACCCAAATCCCCCCTTTGACATGGAAGCAGGTGGTTTATCCCAATTGGCTGCTTGCAGTATTTATGAGTCCTCAAACCTTTTGCTGAACCAGGTAGTAACCTCCCCCAACGGCCACGGTAACTCCTTTCGGATTGGTCCATTTAAATGGAGAAAGAGAAATCTCCAACGAGGCGTTCTGGGGCAGCATAGACAGGTATTTTCTGTGTTAGAGTTTTACTCCCTACAGGGTGTACTTTGAGGGTTTGTGACTCTGCAGACCGTTTACATGCAGAAAAACCTTCATAACACACAAGGGGACGGGTAATAACCGGAAAAACATGACATGGGACCATTAATCAAATGTGTGGTGTTGATAATTGGCACGTTTTACTGCAGCTGAACTGAAGCAAAACTACTGAAGGTGAGGGTGCAGTGGAATTGTTTACCCTGTGTGGCTGTGGCATCACAGTTACGTAAAATGTATTGAAAGGGAATCAGTCTTATGGGCGGCTTGATATTGATTATATATTGTGACTTTTCTGTATAATAACTCTACATAAACGATCAGCATCTTGTAATAAATTGGATTGTGTATTTGCAGCCTCACAGAGCAGAGCTGAACCGCTGACTCTGATTAAACACAGCACCCACTTCAGTTCACAGGCTGCACTCAATTTAAACCAAGGTCGCTCTGAGCCACTGATAGCTCTCAAATGTCAGCACAAAGTGAGTGTGTTTGTCTGTGTGACAGGTAGAAATGTGACACCTGAGAACAGTCAGGAGCAGCGAGTCTGTTCCTCAGGCAGCAAGTCCAGGTGTTGATCCCTACAGAAATCCTTTAATCGTCCCGCAGCGGGTACAATTTACAGCGTTACGTCAATAAAAGTACAGATGAAATTAAATAAGAAAGGCAAGCACATGTGTAATAAAGTTATGGTATATCTAAGGACAAATATACAACATACTGTATACAACACAATAATTAATTGGTGAAAAAACAGTTATATAATATGCTATAATAATACAATTAATTTAAATTTAAAAAGTACTATTTAAAAAGTACTTTTTAATACTTACCATACATATTTATGATACTATCTCTGTACTATTACTGAAACAAGGATAACACATGAAGAATTAGGAATACTTTTTGTCACATGTCATACGAACCATTATACAAGGACATGATGCAGTGTGGTATTTCTACTTTGCCAGACAAAAAGAAACAAAAAGAATACCTGGACAATGTCCCCAGAAGAAAATGCTGCACAAAACAAAGCCTGTGAAGTAAACGGTGCTTGAGGGTTGTTGTTCCTGAGTGTGCACTTGAAGATAAGTTAGCTTTGGTGTGTTTTGCTGTTGTTGCCTGGGGTGTATCGTGTTTCGGCAGCAGCAGCAGCACTGAGCTGTGTTAACTTGGACGTCATGATCTACGGGCTGATGCCGGGTTTTAATTCAGACAGCAAACAAAGCCGGGGCGAACCCACAGATGGTCTCATATATCCAATGGGAAATCTTGTCAGGGGCATCTATCCAACTACAGAGTACAAAATATGTATGTGTGTGTGTGTGTGTGTGTGTGTGTGTGTGTGTGTGTGTGTGTGTGTGTGTGTGTGTGTGTGTGTGTGTGTGTGTGTGTGTGTGTTTTCAAGCCAGAAAGGGTTTTCTACTACAGGCTATGATGGAAGCAAGGTGTTACGTGTAAAAGGACATGTTGGTTTCATGATCACAAAACATAACCAGAAATGTACCAACATTAACAAAATTAAGAGTGTCCTATTTGGATTTGTGTCATTAAATTAGTTAGTGTTGTTACATTCTGGGTAATAAAATGAAAAAGAAAGCAATCCAAAGGCAGCTCAAATTGTTGGAATCACAAATACATAATTTGACCGATTGAAGGAGGCTTGAAATCATACCAATATACCATTCAACAGTTTTTATGATATTTTAAATATATATGTATTGTAATTTTTGTAATTTGTCCTACAAACGTCCAGCATTATGTGCACATTTCCGGTAGTTACGTTTAAAATTAAACCTTCTTCTTCATAAGAAACAACTCGTGGAATTTAGTCAACAAAAGGACTGAATAAATATATACCTACAGATGTGGCGAGGCAAGTAAGTTAACATTTGGGTTTAGGTTATGTCATTTCTGTAGATTATTCCTGCTTTTAGCAATTTTGGTGAGATGCTAAACATTTACTTGAACTGTGCGATGACAATGATGTGATTGAATCTTGAATGTTAAATTACCTGTGGAAAAGACCAAAACTCTTAGAAATGTTGTGATATAGAGAATAAAATGTTCCCTGATACTAAAATATATCAGTTTCTTTACCTGAAGTCAAAGACTGGACTCCCAGTGTTTAAAATGCTGTCACTGTTACCTGAAAGGAGGGCTGCAGTCATTATACTTTTATGTTAATATTTGAACTGCTTAGTGTGACTGCAGATAAATCCAACGGCATTATCACATATTTATCAACGTACCGTCTTCTTCTCTTTTTATTGACCCTTCTGAAGTGCTTTGTCACTCTGAATCAGACTGTGCTGCCATACCACACACACATACACACACACACACACACACACACACACACACACACACACACACACACACACACCACACACACACACACACACACACACACACACACACACACACACACACACACACACACACACACACACACACACACACACACACACACACACACACACACACACACACACAGGCTGACTGTATTGATCTGGAGGTAGGAGCCATAAAATGAGGGGTGATAGATGGATGTGGTGGGCGGCTCGGCCTTGTCGCTGGTGATGTTCATGCCTGGAGATGTGAGCTTTCAGTTGGCAGATCGATAAAGAGGGATGGCTAGTTTCTACATGTTCTTGCAACACGTCACAGCTGGAAAAACTAATTAAGGAGGGGTGTGTTCAGGTAGGTTGGCTCTTCTCAGATGGGCTGCAACGATCTCATAATATTATAAACAGTTTCATTACCAGGTAGGTTGACACGTACGAGGAATTTGACTTGATGTCATGGTGCAGGAGAATATTCTGTATTGGTCACATTAGACCACAACACGGAGTTGAGAGGCTTGGGCAGTACATTTTAGGATCACCTAAAATGGATTACCTCTTAGACAGGAGTTTTTGCACCAACTGTGCATACCTGAACCCTCATTACATTAATCTCTGTTTTCTGGTGTACCCCAAGGCTCCAGACTGGATCCTATTCCTTTTGCATCTTCTCCAGCTTTATTTTTAAAGATATCGCCTGCTGTTGTTATGCTGATAGTTTTAGCCCAACAATTTGCGAAACATTTTGTTTTACAGATGTGCCCTACAATAAAAATGTTGGTAAATCATTTTTAACAGCTTAATACTGACAAAACACTTTTATTTCTGCTCCAGCTTTAAACTGAAGGGGTTGATCCTGTGCGTACATCCTGTAGCAGCACTTTTCGTTGAATCTTGAAGCAAATGTTTGTGTATTGATAGCATTGTAACACGTTTTTAAATGTGAGCGATGCACATGTGGCTTTGGATAACATTATTTTGTTTGTTATGTAACCTAAAGGGTTAGGGTTAGCTAAATATCCTGCTTGGCTTATAACAAATCTGAAGGTGACATTTCACATGGATTTCTAAGCATTATTTAACTATGTCAAAGCACTGAAAAAGGTGCGAAAATAAAGTTATTGTTGTTATAATACGTTGGCAATAAAATAAAATGTAAGCTTCTTATAAGAGAACATTTGCTGCTTTTATTTTGTATATGACAATACATTCATTATCCTGATTGTCTGATAAAACCTGAAGGTGACTTCCTGTGATAAAACATTTATGATTATATTCCAGTATTTTGTGAAAGAATCATAGAGCATCTCCCCATAAAAAACAGTCCGGTCACAGCGATGACGCACGAGGAGGGAGAGAGAGGGGAGAGAAAGAGAGAAAGGGGGGGGGGGGGGGCAGAGAGACGTTTCCTCAGTGTGCCTCCTTGTTGAGAGTTGTTGAGACGGGGACGCTGGGAGTTGTGGGATCTAATGCTGAAGTAAATGGCAGGTTTATAACGGTTTTCTCTCGTGCAGTTTGCACCACCTGTCACTTCTCCGCGAGGACAAACTAACACAAAGAGGAGCAAAGAGGCAGACGCGCGTAATTCCTCTGTGCGTCTTTCCCGCGTCATGCCTCTCATCCTCTGACCAACAACCTCTTTGGATGAACTTTGTTTATCATGAAGACCACGCGGAAATGTCGCGCGCTGCTGTCCGTGGGTCTGAACCTCGTGGCTCTGTTTTTCTCCACCACTGCCTTCATCACCACGTACTGGTGCGAGGGCACCCAGCGCGTGCCAAAGCCCAACTGCAGCAAGCAGCGGCGCCACAACTGCATCGACTACGGTGTTAACGAGACGGACAAGAACAAGGTGCACTACAGCTGGGAGACCGGGGACGACCGCTTCCTCTTCCGCCGCTTCCACACCGGCATCTGGTACTCCTGCGAGGAGAACATCAACGAGGCAGGTGGGTCCATACCGGAAAATCAAACCAGTTTAGGAATTAATTTGCACTTTAAGGTAGCACATAGCACAAAAAAACATAAAACACTCTTGAAAAGAACAAATGAAATGGTTTCAATTACAATTATTGTAATAAGTTAGTACAAATATATAAAAACATGACATTTAATTCAACCACCACAAATTACAAATAAAGTCAAAAGTACAATATTTCCATCTGAGATGTCGTGGAGTAAAACAAATGTTAATACTCACGTAAAGTACCAAAATGTATACTTAAGTATATACTCCAGTAAATGTACTTAGTTACTTTCCACCACTAGTTAGTATGCCATAACTACACGATTTCAAAATGTGACATTTGACTTTGGGAAATCAAGAAAATAATCCTCAGGTTAGTCAAAAGTGAAAATATATATTTTTAAATTGCAGCAAAACTATAAACATGACATCATCTTCAAAACCACATTCAAAAAGGCTCAGTAGTCAGTACCTTCGTAAAGAGGTGAAAGTAGTGCATATGTTTGAAACTATTTTTAGCAGCTGATTAATAAACATGGATGGAACTAAACGATTAACTTCTGATAAACAACAAACACTATCTGTTGCTTATCTTCTGCAAGCAATACAGACAGAGAGAGAGGGAGAGAGAGAGAGAGAGAAAACAGAGAGAGTGTTACGATGTGTTTTGGCTGTGTATAAGAGTAATTAAACAGCTTAGTGAAACAGACAGATTAAGAGAGTTTGCGTGTATTGACCAGTTTATGGTCTTAAAGGCAAATGCTGAACTTGTGCTGATAATGAGTGTCCGTACATTTTACCACATTTAACACATCCTGATCCTTAGAAGATAAACCGTACCCCAGTAACAGTGCAGGGCTGGGAGGGGATTTTGTTTTCCATTAATATATTGGCTGTTTGGTGTGGAGCCGCAATTATTTGACAGTTCATATAATGATTAGTTGATTTGAACATCAAACTCATGTCATCTCAATATTTTGTATTTTTTACCGAGGTGGAACAAGTACTCAAAGCTTTCACTTAAGTAAATATATTCAACTACAGTGTAGAAATACTCTGTTACAAGTCAAAGTCTTGCATGCATTTTTTTACTTAGGTAATAGGACCAAAGTATTCACATCAACATACACTTTAAGTACCAAAACTAAACTAACTTTAGTTACAAGTAACTATATTGCTGGGTATCTTAGTCCATAATAGCACATCACAATTGATTCGTTCATTTATATGTTTTATTAATGTTATGAACTTTAAAATAAGTAAACTAGTTACTAATGTGAAATAAATATAGAGGAGTAAAAAATACAATAATTGCTTCCAAAATGTAGTTGAGAAAAGTATTACATATTGGGAATGGAACATTTCAATACATGCCAAGTACTTGGCAATTGTACTTAAGTGCACTACTTAAAAATGTACTTAGTTACTTAAACTAAATATTTAGGATTTGGATTATAAATCAGTGAAACAACCAATTTGAAGATGTCATGTTGGGCTCTGTTAGATAAGGTAGGTTTAACTTTTTTCCGACATTTACAGAAGCAACAAGACTTTATCGAAAAAACAATGGGCAGATTAGTCATTATAGAAAATAATTAGTAGCAGCTCAGTCCAACCCTAACCTGAGAACAGGTCTAATCGTGAGAATAACTGGGAACACCTGCGCTGGAATAACATTTGTCTCTAAATGCAACACATTTATTATGATTGGATATAGTGAGGTTGTTTATCCCTCCCTCTGCCTGCTTCTCGTTGAGTGTGAGGAAGTCCATAGGAAGCCCACCAGGAGAAAATATGGTCGATTTCCTGCTTCGATTAATGTTTTATTAGGCAGTTTGCCTAGATTTGGAAAACATTTGAATATATACGGTGAGTGTGGGTGGAATGTGGATCGGCCCATTTTAGAATAATATGTTATTGATGCATTACTGTGTTTGTCAAAGCTGTTAAAGGTGCAGCTAGTTTTAACTACTTTGCATACTGCAGGGAAGCTTTGGTGAAACTAAAGTCTGATTAAAGTGTTGATTATATTTGGCATCATGAATCAAAATCTGCAAAGTTACTAAAGGTGATAAATAAAGGTCATAAATTGCAACATTGCAAAGAGATAATTAAAATATTTTAGCATTTGGTAAACTAGTTTTTTTTTTTGGTGAAATCATGATTAAACAGCTCTGCAGATATCTTGCATTTGACTTTCGACAAGTCATAATTTAATTGGCAAATTCACGTATCACATTCGAGGCAGCGTTACGTAAATTATCTATAAAAGGTTTTTGTAATAGTCAGAATTGTGTAATCTGTACACCTCTCGCTATCGCCTGTTGTCTGCGATAGAGAGGCTTCATAGTTAGCTCTCGTGGTGTCTAAAAGAAGGTTACTAGATATGTATATATACATATATATATATATATATATAAATATGGGTAGGTGTTCCCCTTCACTGAGAAGATGGTCTGCAGGAACACCCAGAAGCTCCACCATGCATCGCAACTGTTTATAAAACACATAATCACATCAAAATAAGAAACAAGATGCTACTTAATTCTCTCAGTCAAAACTTAAAGGTCACCTATTGTGAAAAATCCACTTTTTCACATCTTTTATACATAAGCATGTGTCCCCTCTGTGTAAAGAGATTCTGAAAGTTTCAGGAACAAAGATTCACTATCTTTTTGTCCTGATCCATTTATATAAAAACCTGTCTGAAAATGAGCTGATCAGATTTTTGGACACTTTATGATGTCATAACGTTTTTTTTTGGCTTTTGCAACAATTAGCCAATCACCAACCAAGGTACAAAGAAAAGATCATGATGTTATTATTTAAGATTCATTGTTTCCTAGGAAGTGGCATTGTTTTATGACGAACCTAAAGGTAGCATGTTGAGCAACAATATTAGCTTCTAAAATGCAGTGGAGTAGAAGTATAAAGTAGCATACAATAAAAAATACTCAAGTAAAGTACCCCAAAATTGTACTTAAGTACAGTACTTGAGTACATGTACTTCACTACATTACACCAATGCTTTTCACAGACTGTCTGGTTACATTACATTACATTGCATTTAGCTGACACTTTTATCCAAAGCAACCTACAATAAGTGCATTCGACCAAGAAGATACAAACTTGAAGAAAACAGAATCATATAAGAACATCAGGTTTCATAGAGCAAAACATTTCAAGTGCTACTCAACTGGCTTTAGATAAGCCAGTCCTATATTAGTATGTAAGTGCTTTGATAGCATATAAGTGCTTAGTTAGTATATGAGTGCTTTGTTAGTATATAAGAGCTTTTCTTTTTTTTTCTTTTGTATTGCTCAAAGTGGAGTCGAAAGAGATGAGTTTTCAGTCTGCGCCGGAAGGTGTGTAAGCTTTCTGCTGTCCTGATGTCAATGGGGAGCTCATTCCACCATTTTGGAGCCAGGATAGCAAACCCACGTGTTTTTGCTGATGGGAACTTGGGTCCCCCTCGCACGGCCTCGCAGCGAGGGTGCAGCGAGCCAGTTGGCTGATGCAGAGCGGAGTGCACGTGCTGGGGTGTACGGTTTAACCATGTCCTGGATGTAGGAAGGGCCAGATCCATTCACAGCATGGTACGCAAATACTAGTGTCTTGAAGTGGATTCTAGCAGTTACTGGAAGCCAGTGAAGTGAGCGGTGGAGCAAGTGGTGTGGGAACATTTAGGAAGGTTGAAGACCAGACGAGATGGTTCTAATGCTGCATTCTGAAATGGGATGTCATGATGCCACAAAGTTTAAAAACGTAACTAAACTTGTAAATAGTCACTCTGGGTGCCGGAGCGCACTCTGGCACAAACTGTGCCATTCTTAAACTCTGTTCATGCCGTTCGGATATTCAGAGCAGCTCACTGTCAGAGCATGGTGTGCTTGTGGAAGTTTTTGGCATATTGTTTATTAAATTGTTGAGCTATTTTCTTTAACTCAATTATCAGCCTCACGTGAGTAAACATAAATAATAATAGAAATAATAAAAAAACTCTACTCTCTTTTAAGACAATAAAACAGTAGAACATTTGGCAGTGATTCACTTGAGAGTATTTTGTTATCTGTCTCTACTCCGATGTTAACTAAGTGATGTTAGAGTGTATCAGAGCAGTTGCAGGCAGCGTCTAATCACTAATTGATAATCAATAGGGGGGCATGATGGCCGGTAAGAATAACTTCCAGTTCAGACGTGGTGCGAGGCAATGTCAAGTAAGAGACTTGTGGTGTATCTTTGGCCTTCACTCAACTTGATGACCCTTGATACAAGTTGTTTAATCTGTGCTGAGAGACAGTGTGAAGGGTCTTAAGGGTTCAATTAAAAAACATTGTCACGCTGCCTCTTCAGCAGGCTTACTAAATTACATCACGCTCTCTGGCATGCAGGGCGCAGAGACTGGTAAGCAGCTCAGCTCCATAATGTTTTAACAAGAGCAATGAGAGCACAGTCTGACGGGGTTAGTCTTCAGGAAGTTCACTTTTACACCAAACTGAGCTTTTTTTCAACTATATTTAACTTTGAATACTGATTTAATTAAATGCGGAAATTGTTGAGTTTGTGAAGTATTTTCAGTTTCTTATTGTTTTCTTTATGTTTTGCAGAATTATTGCAATTAAATTAAAAGTGTTTCAACCGGATGAAATGAAAAGTCATCCATGGTGGACTGTGATTGGTTGACAGCAGCTAAACAAGTTCAATCTGGTAACTGGTTGCTTTTCATTTCACAGGTTGTAAACTAACTGGATTTTATGTACAGAGGATCCAGTTGCAAATACTATCTAATGGGTAGAATCAGAGTTGTCCCCAGGTCTCCAAAAATCTACCTTAAGCTGCATTCACATGATACACGATTTGCTCGCTGCGAGGTTGGATGCAGAGCCTTGAGGTAAAACGTTTTGTTTGTATGGTTACATCTCCTGCTAGCTTGCACCAATAAATACAGATGTATTCTGATTGGTTGCGTGTCGAAAGTAAAAA